CGCAGGAGAGCCGCTCAAACTGACGTGGAAGTTTCAAATTGGATTGAAAGGCGCGGACAGTGCTCATTGGCAGGTTTTACGATGACGTTTATATCAACCAATCAGGAGTGTTGTGGACTCATTCCAATCCTGCTTGTCTTGTCTGCCGTTGTATGGCTGGATTCCATTTTAAGAGCCGTAGCTTTTTACATACATTTTACGTTTTTTTTATTTGACACTTTTTTTTTACAGTTAACTATTTTAGTATACTATGAAAACTACTTTATTTACACAAAATCATTTTGGGGTATTTCTGCAATATATTACATTTTTTGTGAAGATGTATACATTTATTTAACATTTTAGAGATGTTTTATAATAAGATTTCTTTTTATTCTACAACAGTACAGAATACAGTTATTTACATTTTTTTTACATTTTGTTACATTAAATTTAAGGTTTTACTGCAAAAAAAAAAAGAAAGTTGCCTTCATTTTACATGCAGTAAAATTATGTGTATTTGATGTGTTTTTACATAGAATTCAATGTAATTTAACATTCAAGACAATTAAACAATGGAATTATCCTGTAAAAAAACGATAATTTCTCATCAAACCAATTTACAGAATAAAACCTTTATTTATTTTAAATAAAAGTAATTTACTGTATTTTTATGGTATTTACACGTAATATAGAAAAACAAGAAAGGTCTGTAAAATAATACAGTACATTTCTGTGAAAAAACTTTTTTTTTTTACAGTGCACAACACGTACCTTTTACGGAGCTTTTACGGGAGATCGTCTCACCGTAGCTATCAATCTGATCAAAAGACGTGTTCAATGGTATTAAAACAAGAAAAAACGCGGCTGAATCGGTTGATACATAGGTTGATAATGTATCTGTGGCTTTGAAGCAATTGTTTATAATCCATAATTCCATTTTTATGTAAAAATCGGAGCACAAAAGTTAGCTGCTAATGGTATTTTTACATAAAAATGGAATTATGGATTATAAATGAAATAATTTTTTTATACAGAGACGTTAAAAACCTATGGATTAACCGATTCAGCCGCGTTTTTTCTCGTTTTAATGCCATTGAACACGTCTTTTGATCAGATTGACAGCTACGGTGAGACATCTCCCCTAGAAGCTACGTAAAGGTACGTGTTGTGATGTCTGTGTTTGCTTCCCCTGTCAGAGTTCGGATCACTCAGTGATGATACTATATACCTAAATAATCTGTGGAACCTCAGTTTTAATCGGATATCTTGTATGTGCAGCTACGATAAGTAATAAGGGTACTTTTATCTTGAGTTCTGTGCCAAAGTGCGTTAGCATTTTTCGCTCAGGGGTCATTTAGATGCTTCTTATGAGACTTGTGTTTTGTTTTGGTAAAAATGGTTTGTATCGTCAGTTAGCTGAGATTATTTCCGTTAATCTGGTATAACACATTAATAGGTTCTTAAATATTAAGATCCCCTGAGACACAGTGTCGTGAAAAAAAAGTAAAGTACCCGCCGGGACTTTGGGGCTTAACAGGTTAAAAAAAAACCGCAATATATACCGCAGGGGGGGAAAAAATCGCGATGTCAGTTTTTTTCAATATCGTGCTGCCCTACCGTATAGTAGGTCTACAGCACAAAGAACACAAATAATCAATACTTACATATTTTCACTTGTATGTAGTATTATAATAATTGAAATGCTGGTTCTTCTGGGGGTGTTCTATCCACGCTCATCTGGCGCACCGCAGCTGCACTGTGCAATCGCTGGAGGACTGGGCTGTCACTCAAAAACTGAGTAGCCAATGGGGACGCACGCCTGAAAGTCCCGCCCACCTGGGACGTTTGTGTCAGAATCGTAAACAAAAAATGAGGGAGCACAAAACGAGAGAGCAAAAGTCTGATCATTGAGAAAGAAGCAAAGAGAACTGCAAACAAAAAGATATGTTAAAACAAAGAAAAAATACTTATAGTTTACATGATTACACAAATGATTTGTTTGCAATTTATAGCTTTATTTGTGAAATAAAATTTATTTTGCTTGACTTTTTCTCTTAAACTCTTAGTTTTGATTGATTCTGAGAAAATGTTGCTTTATCTTTATGAAACAAAACTAATTCCATAAACCTGTTGCTTTCAAAGGGTTAATGAAAAAAAGCACTTTTACTTACCCCTGAGTTACTTCAGTTTAAAATGGATGTGTATGATTAAGGCATATGTGCCTGTTTGTTTGTAGCCATCCAAGATAAAGTTAACATGTCCTTTATATTATATTTTTGGTTGACTAGACGAGGAGAAAATAAATATATTGGTCTACGGCAGAAATTGCCTCTGCAGTATAGCCATGTTAAAGAGGGCCAGCTTCGTGGCACAGAGAATTCTGGTTTTAGACTTAACATACACAATCAACCAAACTCCTTTGTCTGCTGGAGTGTAATAAGGCAATAGTTTGCCAACACATATCCCAAAATAGGGTCAATGTTGTGTTTAATTTGTTTTGCTGCCACTCAAATTGAAATAAAAACCTTACAGAATATTTACATTGAAGTCTTATCGTCTCAATGTGTCCGTTATCTCATGGCTTTTGTGTTTTGGAGGATTTACTACTATTTTGATATTGCTTTTCTAATTTTTTTATTTTCTATAAAATGTGTTTACTTTTTTTTAATGTAATGCTCAGGGCTGCACATAACTGGTGCGCAGGTGCGCATGCGCACCTCCGCCCAAAAAAGAGCACCGGGTCATTTGAAAAAAGGCGCATTTGCGCACCAACATTGAGAGAGGGAGAGGGAGAGAGAGAAGGGAGAAGAGAGGAGAGAGGAGAGAGAGAGAGAGAAATAAAGATATTTGCGAGTTGCATATGAACGCGTTATAGATGTTCGCCTAGGGTGCCAGATCTGTGGAGGCGCTGCGCTGCCAGTTCTGGGAGGGAAAAAAACATTTTTGACCGTTGGGGCTCATCCTAATTTTTGGCCTTGATGTAACAATATTCATAATTAAGTAATTGTAACACCCTTTTCACCCCGGTTACACGTTTCATTTGCCCTGTATGCTGGGCGCTGTAAGTGATGAAAATGGGGGATGTTGGCTTATCTGGCGCCCGCAGCTCACAGCCAAAATGCGAGGGAGAGAGGGAGGGTGCACCGGTACGCGCTGTTGTTATTAGAATCTGGTGCTAGCTGCTCTAAAGGATATAAGAAGAAGATGTTTCTACAATAATGTGGAGGGAGAGTCCTCTCCAGTCAGACTGAGAGGCTGATACTACAGCTCAGTGAGGTAAGGACTCTGAGTGTTTAGATAGTTCACTTTAGTCTAAATTCAAACAGTTTGGTCACAATTTATGTAAACACACTTATTTCCAAGGCACTCCTTTATAATTATTGGGATAAACAGGTTTGAAATCATTCCAATGTATACTATAGGACAGTAAACCAAAAACATCCTATAAAACTGGAGAGATAAAAAAATGCATAAATAAAAAAATGTTAAGGTAAAATAAGATATGAACAACATAAATAAAATAAGTTACATTAATTTGTTATTGGCTATGGTAGGTTATTGGTTATGTTCACATACTTATTTGATTACATCCACTTGTCTAAGATGATGGAGACTTTCGACCCAAACCCAGCTGTTGACTTGTGGATGCAAGCAGCTAATCGCAGACTCAACCAGAGAGGAAGAAGTAGGCCTACATCATCAGCTACCATGTCTGACAGAGAGGAAGACAGTGAGGAGGGTAGTGATGACAGCTTGTAGGATTACTGGTCGTGCTAATGTTGTCTTGTGTTCACCTCTGCATGTGTGTTCAGTGCCGTGTGTCTGGCAAATAAAGTCAAGCCCCCCTCAAAAGTTACGGTTTATTTCATTTTAAGGATGAGCACCAAGCAACATCTCCAGGTGCTCCTTTGAGAACCAGGGCAAAAAAGTTATGTGCACCCCTGGTAATGCTACATGTTTGCACAACTCACTGCATTGTGATACTGTTTCAGCCCATCTGTGGGAATTATGTGTTGAACAAGAAAATTAACAAAAATATTTTGAAAAGAAAGAATTGCTTGTCTCAGTGATGACGGAACCCGGCTCTCAGAATGCCAACACATGGCCTCAGAACACCCAGAGCTCTACCTTCACTCACACACACCAGATCAGTAGAGAAACACAACTTCTCAGTATCCATCCAGCTTCGCAAAACCAAATGAGGCCTAAGAGGTTAAAAACGAATCGTTCTCTGCACTCAGAGAATGATCTAGGTGAGTTTGACATCCTGATTTAATGCACTTCCAGATTTTAGAGTCATTTTTTCTTTAGTGTCTTCCTTGAAACAACATAGAAAACGTGCCAGTGTACAGAAAATTAATAACTAGAAACACTTTATATTTTAGGAATAAAGTTAGTTTTGCTTGAAATCTGTCTTGTTATAAGATACAGATGTGTGTTAAGATAAATCTTGAAACAAGTTGATGTTATTACAATATTCTTCAGTCACACCTATTCACTTATTTAAAAAAAAATGTATGACTTAATTACACAGAAATTACTTGATCAGCTTTGTTTGCAGTGTGGGAGGATTATGTTATACTACATTTTATGTTACTGTTACATTTACAGGTAAGCATGATTGTAATGTCACACCTGAATACTTGAAATGTACAATCGTAATTTGCAAAGATACTAAAGACTTTAGTAGTTGAATAAATATAGAGTAAAAAGAAAAGTATTTAACCACCACTGGTAAGGCGTAGAGGTCAACGTGATGGACAGGAAGATAATCTACCTCGCAGACATACAGAAGATCAGACTTCATGTTTTGTCCACTCAATTCACATTTTCTTTTAACTTTTGCTCAATTCACCTTAACATTACATTAGTTGTTGTAATTGTCCAATATCAATATTAAGTGGATGTTATATGGGTTTGTATCTTTGTAGAGAGCAATGGCGACAGGACTAAAACCAAAAACTGTCTTGGGGAAGACTATAGGGTTAAAGCCAAAAAGAGAAAAGTCAGCGAAAAACCCTCAGTCATCCACAAAAAGGCGTGGTGCCAGCAAACCTGTTGAGGTCCATGGGACCAAGAGAAAGGCCAGCAGTGGAGTAGTGATCCCCAACAAAAGGCAGAAGGGTAGAAACACTGACTAACTCTGGTAAACCCACCAAGGTGGTAATGGAGAAGAGTTTGGAGAGGGCCAGTGCTGAGCAGCTGCCAGCATCACAGACTCCAGATACAAGGAGAAGGGAGATCGGCTCTGAAGTCTCCCCCAGTCCCAGCAGCTCTTCAACCTCCGAACAACACAATGGGAGCACACCCCAATTCGTCAACACCATCAGAGGTAAGCTAGATGGTGTGAAAGAAAGTACATTGGTGTATATCAATCCTGGCTGACATTTGGTCAATAAATAGTCACATAACTTCTCACTAAACACAATATTTAACATGTTCGGAATAAAGATTAACTAACCACCAGGTGAACATCCACTGGTAGACAGTGGATGTTCACCTGGTGGTTAGTTCATCTTTAAGTTAACCATAGTGCCTGGCTTTAGTTTAAACGATGGGCTAAAGTAAGATGTTTTCTCCATGTACAGTATAGCAAGACTTACATCTATATTTGTGTGTGTAGCCAATTTTGAGGCCAAGTACGAGGAACTTGGATTGCTTGGAAAAGGAGGCTTTGGTTCTGTTTATGCTGGAAACAGGAGAACTGATAATTTTCAAGTAAGTTTGCCATACATATTTTCCCATCACACATACAAACAGTCATTCCTTCCTGCACTAACCAAAGTACTGGTAACTCTGTCCCATAGGTTGCAATCAAACAGATCCCCAAAGCTGATGTGGAGACTCAACCAACGGTGAGTGGTTTGAAGTCAATGTTGAACGTTCTTTGCAGTGGAGCATTCATTCCATGTAATTAGACCACTTCAAACCAGTTTTCAACGGGAACGATTCCTGACTTGAATGTTGTTTATTTCAGATCCTAAATGGGAAGATTTACATGATCCCCAAGGAGGTGCTCCTCATGTTGAGAGCTGGAGATGGACCAGGGTCAGTGGGGAAATCCGCTGCCGTCTCTTTACTCGACTGGTACAGTTTTGATGAGGAGGTTCTTCTCATCATGGAGAGACCAGTTTATTCTGTGGACCTTTGGAACCACCTTAATGACAACGGTGGTGCCCTGAGCGAGGACCAGGCTAAGGTACTTAAGCTGAGCGGTGCATATTACTGTCTCAGTTTTCGGTGTTCCCTTCAAGCTGTGCTAACCTACTGTGTCTCTGAATTTCTTAACCAGAACATCATGAAGCAGCTGGTGGAGGCATCCATTCAAATGCTCTCTGTCGGAGTCTTTCATCGGGACATCAAAACAGAGAACATTCTGATTGAGACTCGATCCGATGAACCCCGAGTGAGGATCATAGATTTTGGTTGTGGCTGCCGTGTGAGGAAAAGGCCTTTCAGCTCATTCTCTGGTACGACGTCTGGCTTCTACTCTCGTCCTGAATTCAGCTGTTGATCTGGATGATGACTTATCTTCTCCTCCCCTTTGTCTGTGTATTGTAGGAACCTCTGCCTACGCTCCTCCAGAGCTCTTCATTAAGGGGAAATACAAGGCAGGCCCCACCACAGTCTGGCAACTGGGCGCGGTCCTGTTTGAGCTTCTGGATGGGGACAAACAGTTCACCACCTCCGAGTACCTTTGTGACAAAATCAAACTCAATCAGAAGCTGTCCCAAGGTAGGATGATGCCCGGTCAACACAGTACCTGAGTTTTGGTTCTTATACTGCTCACATTTTTTTCCTTCCAGGGTCCATTAGATCATTAGCCAATTCAACCTAACCTTGTTTATTAACTTCTTTCTTCTCTCTCAGACTGCCAGGATTGAATGAAAATGTGCTTGGCAGTGAACCTGAAGGAGCGTGCCAACCTTAAGCAGATTCAGGCGCACCCGTGGTTCCAATAATCCACCACCACCGCTTGGGTTTGTCTTGGAACAGAGATGGGCCGTGAAATATATTAAATATATATATATATATTAAAAATCAATATGTATTTTCATTCATCTCACCTCCAGAATTGTATCTTTAATAATGCTTCAAAAATATAAAACAAACATGTTTTCAGCATTTCAGCTTAAACAAACCTTAAAGGTTGGATGTGAAAGTATCGTTCTAGCTCAGTCTAACCTCAGTCCAGAGAACTAAGAATAGAGCAGCACCAACTCGAGCACACAAAACGAAAAGAGTAGTGCAGGAATGAGTCCTAAAACCTGTAAATCAGTTAGCCTTTTACTACTTCCATTTCCAACGTCTCGAAGTGAAAGGCTTTTTGTATTAGTTTTAAGACGCCCAAAATAAGGTCTGTATTTAATACTAGCTGAAAAGATGTTCACATTTTGTTCTATGACATAACACGTCCGTAAATACCACAATGCTGAATTTCCAAAGCCTCTTTGTCATAAAAACCCTTAGCTTAGCTGTGGTGACGCTCGACCAGGCAACCTTGATGGAGTTTCTTTATAGACTGACCTTATCTTTTCTCTTTTGGCTTTTGCGTTTATGATAAAAAAAAATAATGAAGCGGTGGAGATGTTGCTGGTGAACAAAACATGCAAGTAATGTAAACATGTGTTCAACATAGATTTTATTTTCAGCAAAATATTCTAAAATCCAATGAAAAAAATCCCATTCCCAATTTTTTCAAATCTTTAAGATGCAGTCCATATTATCTTCCAAAAGAGTACACCATTGTTTTGGTTTGTGCATTCCTCCTACTACAATTTTCTATTATATATATATTTCTAATAAATATTCAATCAAACTTATCTACTTCTTTCATGTTTACACATCTTTGTTTCCATCAGGGATAGTTTTTAAGTAACCAATATGGACCTGTATTGAAGCTCATGGTTTTTGTGCTGTGGATAAATAATTAAACCATACCCATTACATTAAATATGCAATAAGAAGGTATTGGTATTATAATGTTTTTGGTTTTTTTAAACAGAGAAAACCTTTAGAAATTCTAAACATAGCACTCAACTGAATTATTGGACAGTAACTAGGTACTTGAAAGATCCAAACCTTTATTTTAAATTAGTTCAACATAATAAAATGTAAAACAACCCTTAAAAGTAAGTAAGGTGCAGTATAAAAAAATAATTAAAACAACGCTCTAAATGAGTTTTAACATAATAAACATCATAAACTTAAAATACATATCATATATATAAATAAATATCAAACTATATACATAAATAAGTGTCCAGTGTCCATGCCTCTGGTGGGGGGATATACATTTTTGTATTTCCTTTGGCACAATGTAGTACTGGCTGTGTCCAGTATCCGCTGTCCCAAACCTCCCACACTTTATGCACGTGTTGTGCAGTACTTTGGGGGTTAGTTTTTGGCTGTATCATACAGCCAAAAACTAACACTAATACTACTAACAGGCTGGCATTCAGAACCGGTGGAGCAGCGATCCGGACAGGAGCCTGTGAGGTCACTGGAGTAAATATCATGGAGCCAAAAGGTGAAGCAGGGAAGAGCTGCAGCTCCATCTGAGGGCCAGAGGGTGGAGCAGGGAAGAGCTGCTCCACCTTGCTTTGATGCCTTTTGATCTGGAATGTGACAACAGCAATGTTTAAGTTTAAGCATTTATTAGAAATTATCTATAGCAGTTAATGTTTATAACTAAACACATTTATAATAAAAACTATATATGTAATGTTATGGTTTATAGGAGAGTATAACAAACATGGAAATCAAATACACAGTCACATTGTATATTACTTTTTTGGTTGAGTCCATCTTTATGATGGAACCAAATGTGGAGGTGATGCTGGCCATGATGTGGTCCATGCAGGAGAGGATATCCCTGCCGTACATGGACAGCGACTGCTCGGGATGAGGATGGGCTCTGGGGGCTCGTTAGGACTGGCTCACTTTATGCTGCGTTTCCATTACAGTTTAGTAGCTGGGGCAGTAACTATAGTAACGCAGTTTAGGCGGAGCCGTGACGTCATCTTCAATGAGAACCACAGAAAAACAACATCAGCCGTTAGCTGTTAGCGCTCACAGCTCCTCATATCTGTTCAGAAACTAGACAAAAGTTAAACAAGTACAAACCACAGACTGCCTGTGTCATGGTGAATACAGTTGCTGGTTTATTTATGTCTGTATAGGCCGTTGTTGTGAGTGTGGACGGTCAGAGCATATACAGCGTTAGCTTGTAGCCGATCTCCATTTAGAAAACACGCATTTTAAAAGTTTTTTCGCCTGCCGTCTGTCTGCAGACTTGTCAAAGCATTAATTCATGGTTTTTACTAACCGGTATCAGTATGTTGTTACTTCGGCATCATTTTGAAACGTGTATAACAATTAAATCACAGGTTTTTCCTCGCTAAACTCTATTGTCTTTACCACCAGTCCACGAAAAACGCCAGTGAGTTAGAGGAAGCGGCTGCGGAACTGAACATGCAGATTCTGAAAATCGGACAAGTCTTTACAATTAGATGGGTTTCCAGCAGTTACAACACTGTCAAAGCTGTGCTGAAGCACTTCCCAGTGTTAGCACATCATTTAAAATCTGCTAGTGAAGATAGCTCACGTTCTGGTGCAGAGAAAGCCAAGTACACTGGTTTACTAAAGCATCTGACATTCACTGGATTCCTCACTGATTTAGCGACAATGAAAGACGTGTTACGTGAATTACAAAGTCTCTCCCTGAAACTACAGAAACGCGACACGTCCCTGGTTGATGCAAGGCGCTACATACATCAGACGATCGAGGTGCTCTCTGCCACGAAGGACAACGATGGGAAAACAACTAAAAGTCAAAGCGGGCATAACAAGCGCCCAGTTCGAAGGGGTTGATATTAGAGAAACTCAACCTACAGTAAAGAAGTCCCAATTGTACCAGTCAATCATTGATAATCTCACCAGGCGTCTCCCCGATAGTGAGCTGGTAACTATGTTGAAGCCTCTGGATCAGCACTTCTGGCCAAAAGAGAGGACAGAGCTTGTTCTGTTTGGAGAAAGGGAGGTGGGGAAGTTTGCTAAACTTCTCGGAGAGTCCGCAACTGAAGCTGTCAGTGAGTTCAGAGACTGGAAACTACAACAACAAGGCAAGGAACATCAGGGTAAAACCTTGAAAAGACTGATAGTGGCGAGCACCACTGTTCTTCCGACATCTGCAGAGTGCGAGAGGGGCTTTTCTGCATGTAATGACACCGACTGTAAGACCAGGAACCGGCTGCGAGCCAGAAGCCTCAACGCATTGTTGTTTGTGGACTTAAATGAGCTTCCTATCAACAAATGTGACCCTTTCCCATTCATCCAATCGTGGATAAATAAAGGACATCGGACTTCCACATCATGGGTTCCAGGACCACAGCCTGCTGAAAACAGACCACTTTGGGCTATTTTATCTGCGTAAAGATATGTGCGTGTCTGTGTGTGTGTGTGTGTGTGTGTGCGTGTGTGTGTGTTTGTTGGACCACGTAATTAGCAGTGAAGTCAGTCTCTCTCTCGTTTTATCTGTGAGAGCTAATTTTTGTATTTTCTTTAATTTGTATAGCTCTTACGTTGTTATTGATTGTGTACGAGTTCATGTGTTTGAGCATGCGCAGTCTGTCCTGAAGTTGTGGACAGAGTAAAACGTAATAAACGGAGGCGCTGTTTGTGACGCTCCACAAGTACAGAGTTCCTGAGTTTTTGTGATTTTGTAATTATCTTTGAAGCCCTAACACATCAGACACTAATTGTATACTCGCAAGGGTGTGCAATATATACCATCAGTTGGAGTCTGCACCTCCAAGGTGCGCAATACATTATTGCGCAATCTATGCCTGTGACTGTGTGCGTGCAGGCGCAGGCATGCGTTAGTTTTAAAGACCCCCATAGAGCTCAGTTTATAACTCGAACCCTGTGTCAGAAGCATACTTGAAATGCACATTTCATTTGATTTGTTTGTTTATCCAAAACACAGAAAGTGTGTGTTTTGAAATGTATGCATGAGGCATTTCTCAATCTGAAACGATCATAATTCTTTTTTAGTCTGGAGAGTCACTCAGTGTAAAACATTTGATTGATAATATTTGCACCAGTATAGTATACATTTTCAGTAATATACTTATAATTTGTAAATAATAAGTAATAGGTACATATGTTGCTATACTTTACCTTCTGACAGAGGACACGTCACTTCCGTTGCCTTGGAGCTGGTTTATCCCTCCTGAAGGCCAAAGCCCGTCCATTCTGCATCTCCCATTTCTTTATGACTTATAGGTTTAGTGCTCATCTAAACTTTAAGTAAAATACAATTGCAAGTGTTAGAGAGAACTACACTGCAAAGCGAACAACACTGATACCATGTCAACCATTATTTATACAGGTTATCTACACATAATTATAAACACAATGTTCATAAAGTTATCCTTTTATCCATCAATTATTGATGTATGTATATTGAATTATAATTAAAGTAATATTATATACAGTATATAGCTATCTTTAATATATATTCAACAATATACTGTATCCTTCCTGCAGCATATAACACACTTTATCGTATCATACTGAGCAACGATCCCCTATCTCACATAAAGATATTTATATCATATAATATATGATATACTTTAGGTGTCTATATTAACAAATACACTGATAAACATAAACTCATAAAACGCCACCAGTAACCAATAGGCATCTTAACCCAAATCTGTAAAGTAACTAAAGGTATTAAACACATGTAGTGGAGTAAAAGTACACCATTTACCTCTGAATTGTAGTGGAGTAGCAGTACAAAGTAGAAACATATGGAAATACTCAAGGGAAGTACAAGTATCTCAACATTTTACTTAAGTACAGTACTTGAGTAAATGTGTTTAGTTACTTCCCAACTCTGTGTATACATTATATATGATGACTAATGTACCACTGCTCAACAGAAGTGTAGTTACTCATTACAACATGCCCATTCATACAAGAGTCGTTTAACAACTT